GAAAGAGAGTTCTCAAATAGAATAATCTGCATAGTGACCTGGCACAAGGTCTTTATTTTGTCAGGCTTTATTGAAGTAGTAATAGAAACATCGTTCTTATAGATAGATTATGCATTTTGAAAAGGTCATTTCTTTGGCATGGGATTTTTTGATATGGTATCTAGTTTTCTTTTTTATTTAAAATTAACTTTTCTAAGCAATTTGTGATATAATATAGAATTTGAGCAAAATTCCAAGAGCATGCATTTTTGAGCCATATTTGAGTTAAGGGTCCTAGTGTGATACTGTAGGATAAACACTGGACTGATAGCCATAGATTCAAACCCACCAGTCACTCCTCGGAGTTGGAACCAATCGATGGCACTTAAAACAACATTTGAGTTAAGTTGCTCACCATGCTTGATATTCATTTCACTCATCTAACTAACATACATCAAAACCTAAGATTTGTCAGACACTATGTTTCCAGACCGTCTGGGAAGAACCAGCCACATTCTAGGTGGACAGAAAAGAACTGAGAGTTCAAGGAAGAAATCCCTGTGCATGAGGAATTTGTTTTGTGGTCAGGAATTGAAACCAAGGTTCTGAAATATGAGATCTGGTCTGACTTCTTTAAGGCCTGTAGGCCTTTTGTTGTTGTTAAGTGCCTTTGAGTTGGTTCTGGCTAATAGTGACTTTGTATAGGGTTTCCATGGAACAGCTGGTGGTTTTGAACTTTTGACCTTGTGGTTCGCAGAACAGTCCTGATCCTACAGCAGTACACCAGGAGTCCGTGAGCCTAAGGTGCTTAGTTATTACTGGCAGCCCAAGTTTTGTTACCTTTTAGTTGTTTGCCATTTGCAAAGGCCTTGTATTGTCTGATAGATGTTTTTCAGTATGGCTATTCAATTATACGGAGCATTCCTTCAGCCTGAGATGATTCAAATATCCAAGGGATTTAGAACATTGCTGTAGCATCAGCACTGGATTGCCAACCACAAGACCGGCTTTTCAGGCACACCACCTGCTCCTTGGAAACCCTGTACAGTGTTCTCTGTGAGTTGGAACAGACTCTATCAATGAACTCTGTAGTCAAGCAGAGCACAGATTAGCTTTTCTGAGAATGTATGTACAGAAACAAATGACACTTGTGTCAAAGACCATTTAGTTGGTTGCTGTATGTCCCTTCAGATGTTGAAGTATGCTCCTTGGTTTTCAGCTCTTTCTAAAAATTGAGCACATGCCACAGTCATTCAGGGGCAAGACTGCCACCTCATTATTATGCTGATTACAATATGCTCCTCAAGCTGCTGCTGCTGTTGTTAAGTGTCATTGAGTCAGTTCCGACTCTTAGTGATCCTAAATAGGGTTTCCAAGGAGCACCTGGTAGGTTTGAACTGCTGACCTGTGGTTTACAGTCTAGTGCTGATCCTACAATGCCACACCAGGACTCCAAACAGAACTATGGTGGTGGTGGTTTTGTGCCATGAAGTCGTTTCTGACTCATAGCAACCCTTTATAATGTTTCCGAGTCTGTGAATCTTTGTAGGAGCAGAAAGCCTTATTTTCGCTTGCTGAACTGCTGGTAGTATCTATCAACTGCTGACTTTGAGATTAGCAGCCCAATTGAAACCATTGCCTGAGAGCATGAAGCCCTCATAATAAGAATGTGTGTCCAAGTGAGAAGCACCAGATGAGTGTATGTTCCTGCGTCGCTGGCTCCATTCTGCCCTACAAATGCTGCCTACCTTGGGGGTGGCAAGAAATGGTCTAAGTGGTAGAGAGCGCCAGTGTGAGAGAGAGATAAAAGAAACATTATCATTAGCTTACATTTCACTGTGGTTCTATAGATCATTGGTATCCAAAAGAGTGCTATAAAGACATCAAGAAAGATTTCCCAGGAGGTATCTGACTCCAGGAAATTGCTGAAATTACCACTGACTGACGAAAGGATGACCTGTCCAATATATAAATGTTGACACAAGAGAAAAGGCATCTACTGCCAGAATGTAGAATCAGTGGCTTTACTATACTTTGTAAATACATGTTTAATTTTGTTGTTTGATATTAGAAAAGAATAAAGTGAGAACCTCTTAAATTAAAAAGATAGCAGCTCCCTATGTAAGCCGAGATCTGATGTGGCGCTTGCTGCAGGATAATGCTCTGGACTGGCAGCAGTTTTGCCACTGTATGACAGTAGCATGTGCTTAATTGTTTGAAAGAGCGGGAAGCCCAGGAGCATATTTCAACATCTCAAGGGAGGCTGTTAAAGTACCAGTGAGTCGGCTCCAACTCATAGCAACCCTGTACAGGGTTTCCGAGGAGTGGCTGGAGAACTTGAACCACATTAATACTGTTTTGGTGGTAGTGTTGTTAGGTGCTGTTGAGTCAGTTTCGACTCACAGTGAACCTGTGCACAACAAAATGAAACACTGCCCAGTCTTGCTCCTTCCTCACAGTTGTTATGTTTGAGCCCATTGCTATAGCCACTGTGGTGATCCATCTTGTTGGGGAACTTCTTTTCAGGGACCAGTCCTTCCTGATAACATGTCCAAAGTATGAGAGATGAAGTCTGTCCATCCTGGCTTCTAAGGAGCATTCTGGCTGCACTTCTTCCAATGCACATGTGTTTGTTCTTCAGGCGCAGTCCATGATGTTTTTAATATTCTTTTCCAGCACTGTAATTCAAAGGCATCGATTCTTCTACAGACTTCCTTATTCATTATCCAACTTTTATATGCATATGAAGCTTTTGAAAGTACCATGTCTTGGGTCATGTACACCTTAGTCTTCAAACTGACTTCTTTGTTTTTGAACAGTTCACTTTAAAAGGTCTTGTGCAGCACATTTGCCTAATACAATGGTGGTGTTCCGTGGAGTCAGTTACGACTCACAGTGACCCTATACAGGATTTCTGAGGCTGTAAATCTTTGAAGGAGCAGAAAGCCTCATCTTTCTTCTGTGGATCAGCTGGTAGTTTTGAAATGCTGACCTTGAGGTTAGCAGCCCAACTCATAACCACTATGTTACCAGAGCTTGCCTAATGCAATACATCATTTGATTTCTTGACTGTTGCTTGTGGAGCCAATCAAAATGAAGTCCTCGACAATTTCAGTCTTTTCTCCATTTGTCATAATGCTAATTATTGGTCTGGATTGTGAGGATTTTTGTTTTCTTCACAATGAGATGCAGTCCACACTGAAGGCTATAGTTTTTATCTTAATCAATAAGTATTTCAAGTCTTGTTTGTTTCCAGCTAGCAAGATTGTATCATCTGCATGTCACAAGTTGTTAATGAGTCTTTGTCCAATCCTGAAGCCATGTTCTTCTTTATATAATTCAGTTTCTCAGATTATTTGCTCAGCATAGAGATTGAATCAGTTTGGTAAAAGGATACAATCCCGGCACACACTGTTCCTGATTTTAAAACCATCCTGTAAACTAAACAGCAACTGTTTAGTTATTTTTTAAGCTTCATAATCTCCCCTTCCTTAAAGGAAAAAAAAAAAAAAAAAGTGCGTGATAACACTAGGAATTGCAAGGTTTAGAACAAGAATTTGAACCCAGGTCTCTTTTATAACAAATTTCAAGTCTTATTCTTTAAGCCAGTGCTTCCCAAGCTTTAGCTTGCAGAGTTTATATTTATAACCAGTTCTTAGATGGTCTTGGGGACTACATTATAAGAATCACTGTTCTGTACTTTGCTGCTTGGCTTGGGTCTTTTCATGAGTAAATGAAAGTATTTCTGTAACATCCTTGTGCTAACACAAGCTAGCATTTTTTTTTTTTTTTTTTTTTTTTTTTGATGCTGTACCAGTTCCTGGGTGGCACATATGATAATCACATATGGTAATCACTCAGCTGCTTACCTACTGGAGGGTTGGAGGTTCAAATCTACCCAGAGTTGTCTCTGAAGGAAGCTCTGGTGATCCACTTGTGAAAATCATGACCCTGAAGACCCGATGAAGTGCTGTTGTATTCTGAAACACAAAGAGTTGCCACAAATCAGAAGGGACTTGATGACAACCTTTTTTCTTAACCATATCCAAGACATTATTCTAAGTTCATTTATGTTTATCTCCATATTAATCTTAGTTGTTTGTTGTTTCTAAGTGCTAGTGAGTTGGCTCTGGCAACCTTGTATAGGGTTTCCAAGGAGCAACTGATGGATTTGAACTGCCAGCCTTGAGGTTAGCAGTGCAGTGCCGATCCTGCAGTACTATACCAGGATGTGGTTAAAAATCATGGAGAGAATGGGGGCTGTGGTGACTCCTTAAAAGAGAAAGACACTGAAATAAAGATAGAGACCTACTAAGATTGTCTGAGGAATCCTGGTGTGGTGTTGTGGGTCGATGTGCTGGACTGCAAAGTAGGTTTGAATGGCAAGGTCGATGGTTCAGGCTCACTAGTCACTCCTCAGAAGCTCTGTACAGGGTCGTTATGGGTCGGAACTGGCTTGTCGGCACTTAACAACAACAACAACATGGTTGTCTGAAAGTGAATTAGCAGTTGAGTGACTTTTTGATATATGAATAGTTTGTGCTTGCGTCTGTTAAAAATTTGGTTGCGTACTTATTATGTGCTCAACCAAATAAGAACTCATGATGACCCTCACAAGTGAGTGTTTGACTTACGTAATCATATACAAATCTGAAATTAGTATAGCTTGATTTAGATGCTTTCCATTATACTGATATTTCAATCCTGGAACAAAAATTTATTTATGTGGTTACTGTTTAGCAGAACAGAGATATGTCCTGGCTTCCTCACTGTTAACTTGGAAGCATCCATGATTTAATTTAGTATGTAGATCTGTACCCCTGTCTTAAATTTCAAACTTTCAAAAAGGACATTATGACTATTTCTACTTTTTTAGATATCCTTTTCTCAGCTTTATCATTTAAAAAAAAATTTTTTTTTAAACAGCAGAACAAATCCCAACTTTTTGTTAGGGTATAAAATTTTGACTTATGTGGTTTGACAGAAAGAATCACTGGTGTATTTATTCTGATTTGTTATAGGTTAACGAAGCCCTTGTCGTTTGCTGATTGTGTTGGGGATGAGCTGCCATGGGGATGGGAAGCAGGGTTTGATCCTCAGATTGGTGTCTACTACATCGATCACATCAACAGTAAGTTTTCCTTCTTGCTTAAAAGAAAACCACAAAAAGAAAAACCCTACATAGTCATACAAAAGGATAAACACTTTATAAAGAGAATTTTCTTGTTTTAATTCCACTTCCTCAATGACTAACATGTAACTGAAATTCACATTTTGGAAACTGGAGCATATGTATAGAGTTGAGCTTTTGGTATCAGAGAAGGAGAAAGGATGCGGTATGTCTTTCTACCTGTTTGCCCATCTTGGAGCAGTTGTGTTCTTCAGCAAAGTTGTAGAGTCTTTGGGGAAGCCACTTCTGGTCTATAGAAGCCATGAGCCATTTTGACTCTTTTCCATGACACTTCCCCTTCAGATTGAGGTTCCTCCCTTGTTTGTTCTTGCCACAGAAAGAGTCAAGAATTGGTTCAGTATGGTCTAAAGATATGGCACAGCTGTGTGTGTTGAGGTGGGACTGTGGGGCAGGGCTGGCATATATCAGCAGTTCTTTAGGACAGAACAGGGGCTGTAGGAAAGACCTAAACCCTTGTCCTGTTTCCTGATGTCTGTGCCTTTAGAAGGGTAACACCTTTCAAAATAGCTTTGAAGCAAATCACATCCCTTTCATGTTAAGGCTGGGGTATAAGTTTATCAGGGCCAGTGCACACACTTTTGATTCGTTTTACTTATTTCACTTAAAAATACTTCGGGTTTAGGAGACTACATAGTGAATTTATTTCCTCTTACTTTAAGTCTAGACCCGACTCGACGGCACTTAACAACAACAACAACTTTAAGTCTAATTTTTTATTAAAAATAGTTTTCATTAATATCTTTAAGAATAAAATCACATGGAAGAGCTTTTTTTTTTTTTTTTTTTTTTAATATTCATTTATTAGTTATAGACTGTAGTTCCTCTGTATAATACATGATAACTTTTAAAAGGCCCATAACCATTAGGTAACTAGCAGTGATTTCTTAGAGAAACATAAGGCATTTAAGTATATAAAATATGTTTACATCATTTATACTTAGTTTTGTGAAAATATCCTCTCACTGATTTCCTATCAGGGTTTTTTTTATATGTGCAACTGTTCACCTTTCAGGATGATTGGGAAGGATTCCAGAACTGATTGACCATGGCTTAATTCTGCAGAATCCAAAGGGTGAACTTGGGTGAAACTTGAACTTGGCGAAAGGCTTTGTGTCTCCAAATGATCTGATATGAAGCACTAGTAAAAGTGAGGTCTGGACGAAGGGCTGCTTCCAGTATTTACACTTTTAAAAGGAACCATTCTGCTTAGGAGACAACTAAACACAGATAATAAACCGTTCAGCCCCAACACCGTGGCAGACAGGGAACTAGCCAAGATGACTAGTAAGCAGTGTGATGTGATGAATGTTCCTCATGCATCAGGAGGCTTGCAGGCAGTGTTGTGAATCACTAAGAATTACAGTGGGATAGATTTGAGAGCTATAAAGTAGTCCACTTCTCAGAGGTAAGTGATGTAGACGGGTTGAGAGAGGAGCAAGCAATTTGAAATATGCAGCCAGGTTTTTCAATGAACATACATAGCTGTCTGTTATAGTTGATCATCTGTGTATATCTGGGGATCCAGCTCTTAGACATGCACTACTTTAACATAAATACAAATGACAGCATCTGTAAACTGTTGCCTCTCTCACATTTTTTTTTTTTTTTTAATCAGATTAGAATCAGTGCTGCTTTTTTGGGTATAAATACCATTTTCTGTAAATTTCTTGAGGCGTTGACAATTGTAGTTTTTGGTTTTGTGTTAGATTTTTATTTTGTGTTTTCAAATAAACCTTTTTTAGTTCTGTGTTAACATACCAGGGTTTGTTGTTTCTCTGTTATTGGCATCTGAAAGCTTTCATCTGTTATGATAGGATTGATTTTGGTAAAATTAATCTAATTTTGTTGTCGTTGTTGTTAAGTGCCGTCAAGTCAGTTCTGACCCATAGCTACCCTGTATCGGGTTTTCAAGGAGCAGCTGGTGAACTTGAACTGCCAACTGTGAGGTTCAAGGTGACTTTGCAGTCCAGCGCATTAACCACAGCAGACTGCCAGGTCTTTTTCCTTTGGTTAGCAGCCCAGCACTTAACCACTGCACCACAAGGGCTCCTTACTGAACGTTCTAGTCATGCCAACTTCACTTCACTTTTGTTTTCCACCTTTGCATTGAAACTGCTCTTACCAAGATACCCTGCCTCACAAATGATGCAGCCAAAGGACCCCTTACTGTCTTGTCTTCCATGATCTGATGGGAGCCACTTATCACTGTGAATTGCTCCCTTCTGCTCTAGATTTCTTTGAGTTTCATGACATGCTCTAGTCCTTCCCTTACCCACCCTCATCTCTACTATTTGGTCCACTTCCATCCTTCTGGGTCGTTCTGCTCAGAGACCACTAATATCCAAAGCCCTTCTCTGACACCCACCTTTCCACATTGTGGGCCCCATCCCCATTCGGGATTAGATGCCCAATCTGTGTATTTTATAGTCCTGATGTTTAGGGTTTGTGGTGGTGTTTTTTAAAGCCCTTGAGCAGCTGTCATACTGCATTTTAATTGTTTATCTGTATATTTTCCTCACTAAATGATGATCATCTTGAGGGCAGTAGTTCTATATTTGTTTATCTCTGGTGGTTAATATAACCATACATTCTTAAATGTGAGAAGGAGGAGTTTGTTTAACTGAGATTAAAAGCTTTCTATTAGTTTTTGAAGGAATGAAAATGCATTTCAAGTTTAAATTATGCTTAAGATTATTTAAAAAGCTGATTGTCAGAATATAAATTTTTAACCCTACCATTTACCCATAGTGCAGTAATGGAATCCTAGCAGCTTGATGGATTTTATGTGCCCTAAAGTGCCCAAATTACCCACAGCAAGTAGTTTACCCACTTAAAAGGATATGGTCCATTTTCTCATTCATCTTCCAGACATTCCTGTGAAGGAGTTCAGAAAGCAAATGTTATTACCTTCTCATAACAGCAGGTCCACACATATGTTGTATCTTGGTGTTGTTTAGTTTCAGCATTATTTTCTCTTTATCTTAATAAAAAATGAAATAAAGAAGGTTTTGGTTGTTTGAAACTCTTTTTAACACTGCCACATATCTTTAAGTGAAAAATTTGGCCTTGACAATGATAGTTACTTTAGACGTTAAGAGTTTTATGGTAGAATTAGCAGTTTTTATGTTGGTATGGAGTGAAGATAAGATATATTGTCCAGGGATGTTTATCACTATAACCAGAAATAAGTCATTTTTAAAGTACGATCAGAGTTGTACCTTAATATTTTTCTGTCTTTTAGTACTCTTAATTGGGGTCTTGTTTAAATACAAGAAAATACATGGGTATTAAGAGTCCTCTTTTGTCAGACATATAATGTGTGCATTTGTTTTCTTCAGTCTCTGGCTTGCCTACCCATTTTCATAATGATGTCTTCTGATGAGCAGACATTTATGGCTAATGTTTTGACTGTCATATTTAAGAAATCTATGAAGATTGTGAAATTATTCTCAAATAATTTCTTCTAGAACTGTTGTGGTTGTAGCTGAAATGAGTAAATATTTTTGTGTGGTGTTAGATTAGGATCATGGTCCTTTTTCTGATGTGTTTTAGTTTGTTCTGTTAGTACCATTTGTTATTATGAATTTGATTTTGTCATTGAATTGACTCAGAGTCTACCTTGCAAATCACTTGATTGTATATGTGAATCTGTTTATGGATCTGTACTCTTTTCTATTGAACTATCATCTGTCTCTGTCATTCTAGGATTATAGTGTGTCTTAGAGAATTGTGACTTTATGTGTATGCCTTGCAACTTGGTTTGTTATAAAATTAGTTTTTGTTTTAAAAAATCAACTCTGAGTCTTACATTCTACAATTTACATAAGTTGTAGAATCAGCATCAGTTTCTCAAACAGCAACAATAAAGAAGATGGAACTTATCATTTCCTTTGTGATGAATCTGTAGGTAAATTAGGGAAGAATATATAGTTACACTAAATCTTCCAAGTGATAAATATGGGATATTTCTATTGTATCTTTTCGATGCTATTGTAAATAGTATTTTTAAAACTGTACTTTGCTATGTTTCCCCTTAGTATGTAGAAATACAATTGATTTTTATATGTTGATCTTGTATTCGTAACCTCTTTATTTTGTAAATTCCTTTGGATTTTCTGTGTAGAAAATCCTGTTTTCTGTACATCAGGAAAGTTGTGCTTTCTTTCTGATCTGTAATTTTTCCTTTTCTTCCTTCCTTCCAAAAAATCTTTTTAACTTTGTACTGGGTAGGATCTTCAATATAATATTAAATAGAAATGATAAGAGTAGGTATTCTTACCTTTTTCTTGACCATAGGGAGAAATCATTCAGTCCTTCACTATTAAATATGATGGTAGCCCAAATCCACACCCCCTGCCCCTTGTGTGGATGCTCTTTATCAGACTGAGGAAAAACTGCTTTCGTTCTACTTTTCTGAGAGCTTTGTTTATTTTGTTTTTGTCACAAGTAGGTATTAGATTTTGTGAAGTGATTTTTCCCCATTGATTGAAATGACCATGTAATTTTCTCCTTTATTTTATTAATGGAATGTGTTACATTTATTTTTGAATGTTGAACCAACCTTGTATTCCTCAAATAAACCCAACTTATTAATGGTAATAAACCTTTAATTTTATAATAAAAATAATAAACTTTTTTCTTGAAATCAATGTGCTAATATGTAGTTGAAACATTTGTTTAGAGGAGATATTAATCTTCTAATTACTTTTCCAAAAGTACTGTCAAATTTTTGCTGTTCAACTCCAGAATATAATCTTCTTGGTGAATGTTCTATGTGACCTTGAAAATACAGATAGTCCGAGACTTATTAAGTTTCCAAGTAACGATGAACGACACAGCCGTCTGTTCTAGTTTTTTTGGATGTTGTTGTTGTTATTATTTATTTATTTTGTACAACTTATCATTAGTAATCTAGAGTTGTAGGATGGCATCAAGATGAT